ATTATTTTGTTAGCATGTGTCTGCCGCAGCTCAGAAGAAGTACACCTGCCTTCTAAACTCTCAGATAGTTTGCGTCAACTATGAAAGTGCATGGAAGTTTTCCCCCAGAATTATTTGTTCTGGGAGTCTGCAAAGGTTGGAAAAAGTTACCTGCCCAATGAATGCAGCACTGGAGCTACAGGTTTAGCCACCACCAATCCTACCTGCCAGTCACGCCTGCGGCAGAAAGTAAAGCCCTGTAGCTGAATACAGCCTCAGAATAATAGGATTGGAATTAACTCAGAAGGTCATTTAGGCACTGCAAGGAAGCTGCTACCCCAACAGCCCTGAAACACAGACCCCCCCCCCAGCCCGATGCTTTGAGTCAGAGGTCACCAGGGCGAAACAGGTGCAAAACGCCAGCACCCTGTCTACAACTTCATTAACATCCACCTACAACTTCACTAGCATCTCTCGGTATTGTGAACAACACCGACCTTACCTTTTGTTGGTATCTTCATGAACTTACCTAAAAAGATAAAGAAAACAAAAGACTGAGTTAAGCACTTGAAAAATCCATCAAAATCAGACCATTATAAGTTCATCTTAGGTTGGGTAGTTCGCAAGTCTCTGTGGCTTTGCGTAAGGTTTTGTATTTTTCTCAGAAGATTGATAACGAATGCATAATCATTTTGGTAATGATTGTGTGGATATTAGTCACCAACGTGTTGCTTGAGTCGTACGACTTCTCTCAGAAGCACAGGTTGCATTTTTCTAGCATTATTGAATCAGAGGTCGGCAACCTTATCCGAGGATGGGCCGGTTGACGCTCTGTCTGTTGGAAGATGGGCCGGAGTGTGTGTGCACACGCGCTCTTCTGGATCGGATGAGCACCCGTGCGCGTGTGCACATGCTATTTCCGGCACTCCTCCGAGTCAGAAGTGTGCTGGAAATAGCGTGTGCGCATGCGCACGGGCGCTTCTCCGTCCCACATGCGTGCGCACACACTATTTCCGGTGCACATTCGGGTTGTAGCAGTGCCTGTGCACATGCGCACAGGTGCCATCAACCCAGAAGTCGGCTCCTGCGCCGTGCCACACTGAACCGCACTGCACCGTGCTGCGCCGGTAAGAGCGGGTGGCGAGGAGTGGCGGGGGGCGGCAGGGGTCGCCATGGGCCTCTTAGACAAGCCTCATGGACTGCTACTGGCCCACGGACCTTAGATTGCCAACCCCTGCTTTGAATCCTCAAACAAAGGAGAGTCAGTCACTTTCCACAGGAGCCCAGTTGCTTTGTTAGATAGATGGGTGCTCAGCTTCTGGGCTTCCTAAAAGGATCTGGCCAGACAATGTGGGGAAAAGGATATTGGAGCATTGGTCTGATGATCTAGCAGCGTTCTTACTATCTTATTGTCAGGGAACTGCCATCGGCTCAGAGGCGAGAAACAGAAGGACAGTTGTGTTACAGGGAGCCTCCGAAAATCTTGCAAAGCAGCTCCTCTTCTGGGGAGGAGGAAAGCCCCACCTCCAGTGGAGAAGAGGTGCAGGGACCAGAGGATCCTAGAAAGAGCCTTAACACCGCGCCTGAGCAAGCCGGTGAGGAGGGAAACACACCCTTGCCATCGCCCATTCTGTGCAGTAGTTTGGTGCACAGAGAGGGGAGGAGACGGTTGGGGGTAATGAAACTCTTATGTTGGGGGAGGCCCAAAAGAAGACCACTCCCGGATTCTGCTAGCGATTGAGCCAGACGTGAGCTTTGGGGCTCTTCACTGTAAATAGTTTGCACCAAAATAAAACCTGTGAACCGCAGGTCAGAGTCCTGCCTGGTTACTCTCGAGCAACCGCACCAGCACCTGACACTTATGTTCTCCACATCCACGTTGAGCAACAAGCCTTAAGCTCATACCCTCCAATATTTCTCCGATGAAAACAAGGGACGCCCAGTGCTCTCTTTCTAGAAAAAGAGGTGCTGGAACTCACTATGAACACCTCCCTTGTTCTCTTATAATGGCAATGGTGCCCACCTAAAAGGTGCTGGAACTGAGTTCTGGTGAGTTCCAGCTGAAAAAAAGCCCTTGGGACATCCTATTCCATGCCCTTCGACATTTCTCTGATGAAAATAGGGACATTTATTTGATTTATTAAGTTTATATACTGCCCTATACCCGGAGCTCTCAAGGCGGTTCACAGAAAAGATCAAAATATATAAAATCAAAATCAAAACAATAACCCAATAACCCCTCCCTCCCAAAAAAGAGCCACATTTTAAAAAGGTATAGGGTGTCAATAAAATCAAGCAAAGGCCTGGTTAAAAAGGAACGTTTTTGTCTGGTGCCTAAAGGTGTATAATGAAGGTTATAATGAACTTCCCTGGGGAGAGCATTCCACAAATGGGGAGCCACTGCAGAAAAGGCCCCGTTCTGATGTAGCCACCCTCCTGCCATATCCTCCAACATTTCTCTTATGAAAATAGGGACGGTCTAAAGAAAAGTGGGACATTCCAGGATCAAATCAGAAAATTTACAGAAAACTTCTGTAAATCTGGGACTGCCCCTGGAAAATAGGGACACTTGGAAGGTCTGTAAGCTGTTTCCAATTGGGTTCATATGACAAGAAATAGGGTTCATATGACCCACTTTACTTAGGGGGGTGCGGGTTTAATGTGCTTTATGTAGATCTATTAAAGGAAATGTGCTCTTGAGCTGGCTTACCCAGTACAATGGCATCGCTGCGCACACCATCATCTCTGGCAGGCAGTAATAAGTACGCAAAAAATAAACAAACTTCAGTGGCAATTTCCTTTCTTGGCTCTTTTTCAGAGTAAAAATTGTGAGAGGCCCAGAGTGAAGCCGTTTGTCAAGAGAGGGGAAGAAAGCGGAAACTCGCCGACTTAAGGATCCCGATTCCAGACTTTGCCATGCAATCTTGGGAGGTTTCATACTGAGAGCAAAGTCCCAGCCTGGCACTAGGAACTCGTAGCCAGGAAATGTTTATATTGCAGTCAGAAACAGACACATGGTTGATCTGGAAAGGAGGCAAACACAGTGCTTCACACCATCAGGTAGGCCCTTCTTGCTTACTCTGCATTCCCCAAGAGCAAATGATACGATGAGGTTGTCTCATTGCAAGGGTATTGTCTGGTTGCCAGTAACTTTCCTTTAATTTAGGGATTGGGAGCCTCAGGTCTGCGGGCTAAATGTGCCCCTACAGGCATATCTCTCTGGCCCCCAGGGCTCTATCTTGCCCTCATTAGGGGTTTGTAGTTTAGCATTTCCAGTTTCGCCAAATGCTGAGGTATAGTTACCCTTAAACATCAAAAAAGATCATTGCACAAGTGTACTCCAGATAGCCAATGCAATGCAAGTTGTGTATCTAGAAATGTATGGAGACACATGAGTTCAAACTTAGTATACTTTGCTACAAACTGTCGACGTGCAGAGGGCCAGGAGGCCAGCTGGCAAGCCCCAGCTCGGCCGTTTCCATCCACCGGCCCGTGGTGAAGACCATCACCTCTGCTCTGACCTAAGTCAGCCACCTGGGCTTCTGAGCCAGGGTACACTATCAGCAGATCAAACTGTGCACACAGAATAGGCGTGAGGCTTGTGGAAGCATACTACAACTACAGATTTATTAATCATAAATCAGGACAAAGAAACATGTCGTCTCTCTCTCTCATGTCATCTCAGAGAGAAAAGCAAAAGCAATACACAATGGAAGTTCCCAGGATACTGTGCTGGAATGTAAACAGACATGTGACACGCAATAATCCCATGCCTGTTCCTTAAGGTGGAATGGAAATGTCAACAGAAACTGTACCATATACAGTCATACCTTGGATCCCGAATGCCTCTCAAGTCGAACCTTTTGGCTTCCGAATGCCACAAACCCAGAAGTGAGTGTTCCAGTTTGAGAATGTTCTTTGGAACCCGAATGTCCGACGCAGCTTCTGATTGGGTGCAAGAGTTTCCTGCAGCCAATTGGAAGCCATGCCTTGGTTTCCGAATGTTTTGGAAGTCGAACGGACTTCTGGAACAGATTCTGTTCAACTTTCGAGGTACCACTGTAGCTGCAACTGTCTCATCACAATGGGAATAGTGCCCCCAGGATGAAACAGCATTAGTGCTATGTAATCTGTGAATATATTAGTCACATGAGAGCAGTGGCGGAGGAAGGGGGTGCAGTGGATGGAGCCTGCCCTGGGTGTCATCCCTGAGGGGGGTGACATCACCACCCCACCCCCCTGGGATGCTCACCGCTGGCCACGGGCAGTGCCCCCTGGGAAGCTCACCACGGGCAGCACACCCATGGGCGGCCCAGCCCCACCCCTGGGTGCACAGCATGGGTGCCGCTCTGGGTGCCGGAGCAGCTAGTTCCTCTCTGCATGAGAGGTTTCTTGAACTTCCCGTCCTCTGGGAACCAGTGTGGTGTAGCGGTTAAGAGCGATAGTCTCGTAATCTGGTGAACTGGGTTCGCTTCCCCGCTCCTCCACATGCAGCTGCTGTGTGACCTTGGGCCAGTCACACTTCTTTGAAGTCTCTCAGCCTCACTCAGCTCACAGAGTGTTTGTTGTGGGGGAGGAAGGGAAAGGAGAATGTTAGCCGCTTTGAGACTCCTTCGGGTAGTGATAAAGCAGGGTATCAAATCCAAACTCTTCTTCTCCTTCTTCTCTGATCCCTGGATCTGTTCGCAAGGCCGAAGCAAGAGGTTCCATTTTAAAGATGAAGAACTATGAGAAGGAGCAACAGGGGCAAAAGGAAGTGAGGTCAGATGCCTTGAAGTTGCCCATCACAAGCACTAGGCAGCAGACGGAGCTGGCAAAGAGGCCACTTGGACACAATCTTTCCCACTACGGTGAGCTGTATTGTGTTTCTATGTATATATTTCTTAAAGTTTCTAAATTACTGTATATGTGTGTGTGAAATATCTTAATAAAACATATGCAAATAAATACATGAATCCTGTTTTCTGATGTATCACCTTTAGTATAGAATGTATTACTTTGTCCACTAAAATGAACGGTATGTTTGCTTTTTTAAAACAAAAATCTTTCTAGGAAACTATTTGTAATTTAACAAAACTCCATAAAAGTAATGGATTCTGAAAGCAAAGTCGCTCTTTGCAGTACACCGTGACTGGAGTTTCATCTATTCTTGGCTGTTTTCGTTCAAATAGCATAAATATTTTGAGTGTCTTCGCCGAGCCAATTTTCAGAGAGGCCTTTTCATTAAACACTTCCAGATTCAGGTGCCTCAAAAGCGTCCCGTATTTCCACATCGGTCTGCAGAATGCCAGGCTCGAGTTACAAAAATGACTGTGCAAGTTGGCTCTTTCAAAGTTAGGCTTTCAGAAAGCATCTTGGGGACTTCTCATCAGGGCCACCAGACCTGAACAATGGAAGAAAACAATATTCAAGCCTATGGACTAGGAACAGTTTCCACTGCCAGGAGACAGCAAACTTCTGTGTACTGGTTATAGTTCTACTTTGGAGCATACAGCTTTGGAGCATACAGTGATTTAAAGAAGTCCCCTATCATGCTGACTGGATGGCTCAAGGATGCTGAAGTCACGAAATTAAAAGACGCCTGCTTCTTGGGAGAAAAGCAATGACAAACCTAGACAGCATCTTAAAAAGCAGAGACATCACTTTGCCAACAAAGGTCCGTATAGTTAAAGCTATGGTTTTCCCAGTAGTGATGTATGGAAGTGAGAGCTGGACCATAAAGAAGGCTGATAGCCGAAGAATTGATGATTTTGAATTATGGTGCTGGAGGAGACTCTTGAGAGTCCCATGGACTGCAAGAAGATCAAACCTATCCATTTTAAGGAAATCAGCCCTGAGTGCTCACTGGAAGGACAGATCGTGAAGCTGAGGTTCCAGTGCTTTGGCCACCTCATGAGAAGAGAAGACTCCCTGGAAAAGACCCTGATGTTGGGAAAGATGGAGGGCACGAGGAGAAGGGGACGGCAGAGGACAAGATGGCTGGACAGTGTTCTCGAAGCTACCAGCATGAGTTTGACCAAACTGCGGGAGGCAGTGGAAGACAGGAGTGCCTGACGTGCTCTGGTCCATGGGGTCACGAAGAGTCGGACACGACTAAACGACTAAACAACAACAACAACAAAGGGTCACATTCGCTCCTGAGCAACCTTCGAAGGGCCATATGCCAGAAGATCCAAGGGCCATATGCCAGAAGACTGCAAGAAGATCCAACCTATCCATTCTTAAGGAAATCAGCCCTGAGTGCTCACTGGAAGGACAGATTGTGAAGCCAATACTTTGGCCACCTCATGAGAACAGAAGACTCCCTGGAAAAGACCTGATGTTGGGAAAGATGGAGGGCACAAGGAGAAGGGGACGACAGAGGGCGAGATGGTTGGACAGTTTTCTCGAAGCTACCAGCATGAGTTTGACCAAACTGCAGGAGGCAGTGGAAGACAGGAGTGCCTGGCATGCTCTGGTCCATGGGGTCACAAAGAGTCGGACACGACTAAATGACTAAACAACAACAACAAGGATGTTGAAGATGGAGACCTTGCTGCTGAAATAGTGATGGGTCATTGACCCCCTATGAACCCAGGCCATTGCAACCCTGCTTGGAATTCTTCCCAGCCATCAGTCCTTCCCTGGTAACCCCCTCCCTGGCCTTGCTTATCCCCTCCTCAGATAGCTTTACCTGCCTGGATTTGTCAGGAGCTGGAGTCAGGTATAAATGTAAAGGTAAAGGTAAAGGGACCTCTGACCTTTAGGTCCAGTCATGACCAACTCTGGGGTTGCGGCGCTCATCTCGCTTTACTGGCCGAGGGAGCCGGCGTACAGCTTCCGGGTCATGTGGCCAGCATGACTAAGCCGCTTCTGGCGAACCAGAGCAGTGCACGGAAACGCCGTTTACCTTCCCGCCGGAGCGGTACCTATTTATCTACTTGCACTTTGAGGTACTTTCGAACTGCTAGGTGGGCAGGAGCAGGGACTGAGCAATGGGAGCTCACCTCGTCGCAGGGATCGAACCGCCGACCTTCTGATCGGCAAGTCCTAGGCTCTGTGGTTTAACCCACAGCGCCATCCGCATCCCTTGGAGTCAGGTGTAGATCAACAATAAAACAATAAAGCAGTGAAGTTCTTTATTCAAAGAAACAAAACAGCTCATCCCTAGTGGTCACAGCAACCCTTCCCAGTAAGGCAGTTGTGAGGACTGAAGGTCACCACATTCCCATTGCTCCCTAAGGCTCCTCCCCCAACAGCCTAAGGCTCCTTCATCTTGCCCCTCATTGCCCCGCCATTTTCATTTTTCTGCGTGTTCTGGGAGACCGGGGGCAGGGGAGCTGGTTGCAGCAGGAGGGGGAGACTGCCTGGCTTCTTCAGCAGCCTGCCTCACCTCTGTCTCCTGGCCTCTGGCCTCTCCTGCCTCTGAGTCTAGACTGCTCTCTGCCGCAGTCTCTCCCTGCTCACTAAACCTTGTTACCCTTTCAGCTTCCAACATCTCCTCCTCCCAGGCTGCTCCCTCTTCTCCATCTGACCACTCATGCCATCCCATCACCAGTCCCCTGGCTCTGAGCCTTCTTCCCCTGGGGGTTCCCTTGGGGGTTCCCAAATTGATACCTCCCACCACCCCTCCACGTGCAGCCAGACCGTGACAAGACTGCATCCTTAAACCGTGACAATGCCTCTCTAACTTGTCTGGAGGAGAAGTGTGTGTGTGTGTGGATTTTGCATGGCTTGTGTATAAAGGTGAGAGTCAGATCGTTTGCCTTATCTACTTTTTGCCTCTGGCCCCCAGAAGGCTGTTTATGCATGAATGTGGCCCCTGGGCAGGATAAAGTTTGCCAGCGCCTGGTCCCTGAGCTCAGAAATGCCATTCCTGAGGGACATGCCCCATCAGGCAATAATATGGATTTGCCTGCTACACTCAGAATGGGTGCCTGAGCTCCTTTGTGCACAATAATAGCCTATTGTTTGTCATTTTGTTCTAATTACTCATAAGATATATTGGCTCCATTTATTTTCTATTTGTTTTATGGTCTTGCCCTTATACTGGAAGGAATCAAGCTGTCAAGCAGAGACTGAACATGCTCCCTCCCTTGTGGTGGTTGGGGGAGCCGTCTAACCACATCCGGCAGAGGCCAGAGTGCCTAATTTCCTCCGGTGTTCTTGTCCTCCTCGCTGACAGAATTGGGCAAAAGCCACCCGCCTTGATTTAGAAAATGATGGGAGATCTTTCTCAGACTTGTGGGGAGGGGAGAAATTTGGGGGGAAACTTACAGGAAGATAGGAAGCTGTCTTTTTGTTTACACTGGCTGGCAGTGGCTCTCCAGGGTGGTTTTTGTTTTGTTTTGTTTTTTTGTAGGGAGCATTCCTGTTCCCACCTGGAGATGCTGGGAATTGAACCTGGGAGATATTCTGCATGCAAGGCAGATGCTGAGCTATAGCTGTTCAGACAATCAATTCTGATCTCTTATTGCTCTGCGTCCAGTAAAAAATGGACTGAAGATCATCTCAGGGGAGGAAGCAAAGCTAGAGCTGGCAATGGCAAGTTCCTTCTCCAAAGGCAAAGGACAGGGACAAAACGGGAATCACAACTTTTCATGGCATCAATCAATCAATCTTTATTGCGATCAAAGACCAGACAGCAAAGTTAACAGCAACAACATAACTGTTCAGCCTAATCTGCATACCATCCTGCATTAATTATTCACACACACCCATTTTCCGAAATTTTCTCCATCCCTACTTGCTGACCGACAGTGCAGTTGTAAACTTGCTTGCTAGAGCGCAAGCTGCCATTGAGCTCAGTGCGAATTGCTTCTGAGTCAAGGTGCCTAGAATTGCGCTGTAATGGAGCACTTCCTCCATTATCTGCCTAACCTTGTCGACTGAAACCAGTTCCTGAGCTGAGGAGTTCTTCCAAACCTATGGTCTTAGAACATGTTGCAATAGAGGTCTGCTGTAAAAGGTAAAGGGACCCCTGACCATTAGGTCCAGTCGTGGCTGACTCTGGGGTTGCGGCGCTCATCTCGCTTTATTGGACGAGGGAGCCGGCGTACAGCTTCCGGGTCATGTGGCCAGCATGACTAAGCCGCTTCTGGCGAACCAGAGCAGCGCACGGAAACGCCGTTTACCTTCCCGCTGGAGCGGTACCTATTTATCTACTTGCACTTTGATGTGCTTTTGAACTGCTAGGGTGGCAGGAGCAGGAACAACCTAGCAGCAACGGGAGCTCCCCCCGTCGCGGGGATTCGAACCGCCGACTTTCTGATCGGCAAGTCCTAGGCTCAGTGGTTTAACCCACAGTGCCACCCGCGTCCCAGAGGTCTGCTGAAGGCCCATCTAATCCAGTATCCTCTTCCCACAGTTGCCAAACAGATGCCTATGGAAAGCCCACAAGCAGGACACAAGCACAGGTCAGCTTTGTCCCCGCTTGTGATTCCCAGCAACTGGCGATCAGAAATTGACTGCTTCCGACAGTGGAGGTAGAATGTAGCCATCATGGCTGGTCACCACTGATACCCTAATCTAAGGGTCCAATTCCCTTTTAAATCTATCCAAAGGTGATGACCATCACTACACCTTGTGATTCCCAGCAGCTGTTAAGAAGAAGCAAGGGTGGCAATATCAACATTCCAGGGATTTTCTTTTCTTTTTTAATGTCCCTAGTTAACATGCGATCGTTTTCATGGCTTCCCCCTTTGTCCCTGTCTTCTGTCTTTGTTCCTGGCACTCTACGCCTGCGGTTCTCAAGGGAACAGAGAGGCAGATGTGCAACAACCAGTGATGACGTTTCAGTCAACTGTACTTCCGTTCCATTTTTCTGACCTCGGGGAACCATATTTCAAGGAATGCGGTGGGAAGGAGAGAGGAACTTGCAGCTCCTTCCAGAGTTTTGCACTCCTCAGATTGCTTCTGCTTCTCTTCATGCCTCCGCCAGCACTGCTGCCCCTAAGTGAAGGGAGTTATAGCACAAGTGTCCCACGCTTGGATGCATTTATTGCTTTTGAGCCGGAGGGGTGTAGTGGCAGAGTAGGGTCTGGTCTGGGACACCAGGGTCCAAATCCCCACTCTGCCATGAAGTTCGCTGGGTTGACTTTGTGCCAGTCATAGTCTCTCAGCTTAACCTTCCTCACAGGGCTGTTGTGAGGATGAAATGGCAAGGGGGAGAAGCTTGCATGCCACATTTTCTCCCTTTGTTCCAGAATTTGTCTGGAATATCCCCTCTTCCCCATCCCAGTTAGGTGAATCCTGAAATGGGGAGAAAGGGGAGCACCCCCATCTCACAAGGCAAGATCTGTTTTACAGGAACCCTCAGGAGAAAACTCAACTCAGCACACTTTCCATCTTTCTCAAAGGAGCAGTTCTATAGGATTGGTCAAGGACATTCCTGTGCTCTGATGTTCAAATGCCATCAAATTCCATGGGGCAATGGGGGCAAATAGACTAGGGGAGTGTGTCCTCATTGTCACCTCTAAGCTCTGGCAGAGAATTTTGTCTCAATGTGCTGCAGGCAGAATCCTGGTCTAATTCATTGACTAACCTGCACGAAGCACGTTGTTACTTGCAGCACATTGGAAGAAATAGCTTTTTGGAGAAATCAAAAATAGAAGAGTTTGCAATGGCAGTGGAGGGGCGAGCCTTAACTTGCTCTTCATTCATTCTGCTGTATCACAGACGTATAGATGTCTCATTGTTTCCCTTTCTCCGTGTGTGTCCCATCTCATCACAATGAATGATTGTGACATGTGCTTTTAGTTTTCATGGGTGGGGGATGACAATAGCTGGAGGGACAGAGAAACCAGTTTTTGAGTCAAGACACCTCTTAAACCATGGCAAATCTGAATGAAGCTCCTCTGCAGAATATAAAAATAAAAACTTTTTTTTTTAAAATGAACCTGCCTAACAGTACAATCCAGTCTCAAGATACGATACGATATGATACAATAATCTTTATTGTCATTGTCCCATACAGAACAACAAAATTGAAAAAATCTACAGCAGACATTCAAAAACCAACAAGCCTGCTATCCCAGCTATCCCAACCTGGTTAACCCCCTAAAAACTCTGATAGGTAAAGGTAAAAGGACTCCTGACCATTAGGTCCAGTCGTGACCGACTCTGGGGTTGTGGCGCTCATCTCGTTTTATTGGCCGAGGGAGCCGGCATTTGTCTGCAGACAGCTTCCAGGTCATGTGGCCAGTATGACTAAGCTGCTTCTGGCAAACCAGAGCAGCGCACAGAAACGCCGTTTACCTTCCCATCGGAGCGGTGCCTGTTTATCTACTTGCACTTTGATGTGCTTTCGAACTGCTAGGTTGGCAGAAGCTGGGACCGAGCAACGGGAGCTCACCCCGTTGCGGGGATTCGAACCGCCGACCTTCTGATCTGCAAGTCCTAGGCTCTGTGGTTTAACCCACAGCGCCACCTGCGTCCCTAAAAAACTCTGATACCCCATAATTAAATACAATATACTCCCATAGAGTCTACCTTACACTGTGTTTAAAACCAAAATCGCATTTGGATAGAAACTGTTTCTCAGGCAGCTAGTCCTAGTCTTTATAACCCTTTTTTTAAAAAAAATGATATTTATTAGAGTTTCCAATAAAAAGAACACATCAGTAAAAAAGAATTAAAAATAGAAAAAACAGAAAAATACACAATTCAAAAATACACAATACATAATACAAAAAAACCAAAAAACAAAAGACAAAAAAGAAAACAGTTAAAAACAATGCCACCTTTTCATCACCACTTTTAAATTTACTTATTTTCTGGACCTCCTCATACCTCCCTCTTTTGTATTCCAGTTCAATTTGTTTGTCCAGCAATTTCTTTCCCTCTTTTTTAATCCCAATCCTTAATCTTAATATAATATAACATTAAATTTTTACCTCTTAAAAGCCAATTTTCCATGTCTTTTAACTTTTTTAATCCTAATCCTTAATCTTGATCTATATACTAGTCTTTATAACCCTGTACCTTCTTCCAGAAGGCAAAAGCTGAAAGAGATCTGCTTGGATTCAGAAGCTTGGATTCTTCTTATTACTACTACTACTACTACTACTACTACTACTAATCCTGCCCTTCACCCTAAGGTCCCAGTGTAGCTTAAGCCCGTGTAATTTACACCAACATTAAGTTGCCAAAAGAAGGATTCCGGGGGAGGGGGGTAGAATGGGGCAAAGAGAGACTTACACCTATTCCAATCCCTGTTCAGCTCAGTCACATGACCCTGGGCCAGATCCTCAGAACTCAGGACCAAACCCACCAGTTGGCTCAGCCGGCAGCAGCCCCTCCCAAAAGTTCATGAGAAAAGCTTGTAACAGAAGTAGACTTAGACTGGCATAAGTTACACTGGCCTAAGTTACGTCATCTTTATATAGCTCCCACTTGCCTGATGCTCCGGGAAAAGCAGTGTTTGCTGCCTTGGTGCATCCACAGCCCATTCCCAGGCGCCATTTTTTCCTCCCCACGTGGCCATTGTGGGACGCTTGGCAACTTCCCTTTGGCCACCCTGGCTTGATGCCCAAGTCCTGTTTGAATGGGCCAATCGGTGCAGCTGGGACTGCGGGGCCACCTTGGCAACCGCAGTATAAAAGGAAGACTACACCTGGACATCCTCCTTCGCATCAGAGATCATCGTGGGGTTCACCACCCACCAAGTTTGGTGGTGTTCTGCCTGAAGTGGAGAGGACTGGTCAGTGTGAGGAGATAAGGTATATCTGATTGCAGTGTGGATTTGATTTAAATCAAATTGATTGAAATCACGGTATAAATCACTAGTCAGTAAGATTTGATTTAAATCTTCTTTTTTTACGGAAAGACTCATTCTTAGTGGTATAATCTTAATATTTACAACCAGATGAAGTTTTCATTTTTGGAATAATAAATTTTCAGAGTAGTTTTTACAGTTATATCGAAAATTACTGATTTGGTTATACTGTTAGAAATGCATAGAGACAGATAATTATGAAATTACTGTGAGGTTTAATAAGTTAACTGTTTATATTTGGACAACCTTTCTGCTGTACTTTATTGGAAGGAGAAAAACAATCATTTCCTTAATAACAATTTAACTAAAACAATAACATTATAGCATTTGTATCCATGTTTGTTAACTGATGTGGTTAAACGGGGTTTTTTAAAAAAGAAAAAAGAAAAAAAACAGAGACTGAGTTTGAGCACACATGAAGAACTTGAAACAAATCCTTATTTTGACTATAATGTAACTTAAATAGAAAACCATCTTTAGAAAGATTTTTCCTCCAAAAGCATTTTATTTTAAAAATCCGATTTAAATAAAAAAAAATCTGATTTAAAAAAATCATTGATTTTTATCTTCCCTGTTCGGTTGCTCAATTTGGGGCTAGGTAGAATTTCCCCTCCTGCAGACTAATTGAACGGTCTACAGATTTCCACCTGCCTCATAGCAAATGGCACAACTTTGGTGGATAAGGCATTGGGTTGCATCCTTTTGCTGATTGGGTGCCCTATTAAAGGGGTCCAGGAGGGGTCCACACAGGGGTTGAAGGGCCATAGCACCTAGTACATCTCAGGGGTGACCTCTCAACTCAGATTTGACCCTACCTAAAAAGCAGAGACATCACCTTGCCAACAAAGATCCGTATAGTTACAGCTATGGTTTTCCCAGTAGTGATGTATGGGAGTGAGAGCTGGACCATAAAGAAGGATGATCGCCGAAGAATTGATGCTTTTGAATTATGGTGCTAGAAGAGACTCAAGAGTCCCATGGACTGCAAGAAGATCAAACCTATCCATTCTGAAGGAAATCAGCCCTGAGTGCTCACTGGAAGGACAGATCCTGAAGCTAAGACTCCAATACTTTGGCCACCTCATGAGAAGAGAAGACTCTCTGGAAAAGACCCTGATGTTGGGAAAGATGGAGGGCACAAGGAGAAGGGAACGACAGAGGATGAGATGGTTGGACAGTGTTCTCGAAGCTACCAGCATGAGTTTGACCAAACTGCGGGAGGCAGTGGAAGACAGGAGTGCCTGGTGTGCTCTGGTCCATGGGGTCACGAAGAGTCGGACACGACTAAACGACTAAACAACAACAACTTTTCAACCAGCAGTTGGGCGGCTGAGTGCTGGATGCATACTCAATGCCTTGTCCCAAACCTACTTACATCTGCAATCAATAAAGTTGTGGCCGATTTCAACCAAATACAGTTCGCCCCTCACCGTGCTGCAGGCCTGGGCATGCAATGAGGCTTGCTCTGCAAGCCTATTTTACTTCCTCTTGCCAGCAACCTTCTCCTCAAACATTTCCTATAAATTCAGGGCTATTTTATGGGTAATGGCAATTTGTTGCTAGGTCTACTTAACAGGCAAAAGCAATCAGGTGAAACACAGGAGCAAGGCCCCTTCAGATCTTAAATCACATGGAGGTTCATAGTCTGGTGGCACTTCCAAATGTTTTGGGCTACAACTTCCACCAGTCAGCATGGCAGGTCAAAATGTATGGAGGGCACCCAGCTGTGGAAGGCTGCCCTGATCTAAGAACCAACAAAGGCCACTCTGACTTGCAATAAAGTCAGCGGGGAAAGGAGATCTCTCCTTTGACTGCATTGAATTTATCTCTTTAAAATTGGCTTGATTGAATCAAGAGCCGTTTGTCGCCCTCTGAAGAACTTCCTTTCCCGGATCCAGGGAGAAGAAAATGAGATGTCTTGCATTCCTCAAGCATAATTCACTGCCAATAAAACCCGAGATGTTTTGCGGCCATTCAAATTTCCACCTTGTAAACCTGGAAAACTGGTCCTCGTGCCCTATTAGTATACAATATAAGGCTCCAAGTACGTTTTATAAGGTTAAGACTTTGTGCCATGTGGCAATGGATTAACCATTCTCCGTTCTGCCCATAAATTGGGGAGCAAAGGTGTTACAACACTGCAGAATGAGAGCAAGAGAGGGAGAAAAGAGAGAGTCCTTTGCTAAGAAGGCCTTGGTTGAAGTTGGACCAAACCGATGAGCTCATCCTTTCCTTCGGTTAAAAAAGAAAATGATCTATAAGCCGAAAGAATGGAAGAGAGTATTTGAAAAATGTTATGTACATCTTCTTCTGCACTCTTTGATAATAGTCCAGAAAAAAAAGAGAATTGGGTTTATCATGGTCATACTAGTAGCACATGTGACACTAAATGAGACCAGTGGTTCAGCTTGTCCAGTATTGTTTGTTCACACGGACAGCTGACCTCCAAGGATGGGATGATCAAAGCTGAGGTGGAAACAGCTCTCTATTGTTCTGCCCAGACACTGAGGTCCAGCTCCGAGGGCCTTCTGGCAGTTCCTTCATTGCGAGAAGCAAAGCTACAGGGAACCAGGCAGAGGGCCTTCTTGGTAGTGGCGCCCGCTCTGTGGAACTCCCTCCCATCAGATGTCAAAGAGATAAACAACTACCTGACATTTAGAAGACATCTGAAGGAAGTCCTGTTCAGGGAAGTTTTTAATGTGCAACATTTTAATGTATTTTTAATCTTTGTTGGAAGCCGCCCAGGGTGGCTGGGGAAGCCCAGCCAGATGGGCGGGGTACAAACAACAAATTATTATTGTTATTGTTATTCTTATTAATTAGGCTGGATGACGAGGAGTGGTGGGAGGCACCAGCCAGGGAACCCCCAAGGGATATCCCAGAGGAGGAAGGC